GCGACCGCAGCACCGTCCGTCGGTGTTTGGATAAACTCTTACGTTACCGACCTTCGGCCCAACGTTTCCCCGTTATCGTCAGCCAGGATTGCGGTCACGCTGAAACGGCTCGTGTCATTGCCTCCTACGGCGACGCCGTGGCTCATATCCGACAACCCGATCTCAGCGATATCCCGGTGCCGGCAGAACACCGTAAATTCCAAGGTTATTATAAAATCGCTCGGCATTATCGTTGGGCATTGGGACAGGTTTTCCGGACTTTCCGTTACCGTGCCGCCATCGTGGTAGAGGATGATTTAGAAGTTGCTCCGGATTTTTTTGAGTATTTCCAAGCGGCATTCCCGCTCCTCCTTGCTGATCGCAGCCTCTGGTGTGTCTCCGCATGGAACGACAACGGGAAAGAACAAATGGTGGATGTTGGACAAGCCGAATTGCTTTACCGGACTGATTTTTTTCCTGGTCTTGGTTGGTTGCTTTTGGCCGAACTTTGGGATGAACTTGAACCCAAATGGCCAAGAGCTTTTTGGGACGATTGGATGCGTCAACCCGAACAACGCCGAGATCGTTCCTGCGTCCGCCCCGAAGTCTCCCGTACGATGACGTTCGGTCGTAAAGGAGTGAGCCACGGGCAATTTTTCGATCAATATTTAAAATTTATCAAACTTAATGACCGTTTCGTGCCTTTTACCCAACTGGATCTTTCTTACCTCAAAAAGGAAGAGTACGAACGTTCTTTTCTCCCCAAGGTTTACGCTGCGCCGGAGGTGAGGGTGGAGGAGCTCCAAGGCAACCGGCGGCGGGAGCTCGGTGCTGTCCGCCTGCAGTACAGCGGCCGTGATTCCTTCAAAGCCTTCGCCAAAGCCCTGGGGCTGATGGACGACCTCAAATCTGGCGTCCCCCGCGCCGGTTATCGTGGCATCGTCAGCTTCGTCTATCGGGGACGTCGCGTTTATCTCGCGCCTCCTTCGGACTGGACAGGTTACGATCCCAGTTGGAGTTAGCGGGCACCGTGACTCTGCTTGTTGTGGGTTTGGTTTGGGTTTTTTTTTGCAGGGGGTTGGTGGGTGTTTTCCTCCTTTTTCATCATTTTTTTTTTGGCGTGTCTTTAGCGGGGAGGATTTGGTGCGCAGCAGTGTACCGTTCACCCGCCGCTTCTCCGGTGCCACCATGGGGGAAATTTGGGGCGAGGGCAGCTCCAAGCGGAGAAATTATTTTCCAGAATAAAAGGAAAAAAAAAACCCTAAAAAAAAAAAAAAACCCAAATCCAAATTTCTTTTGTTACCTCTCAGCCCAGCAGCCAGCTCCGTCCGTGCTGCCCAGGCCCTATATTGTGCTATAGGGTCTCGTCCCTATATTCATTCAGCTCGATGCTCTGGTTGCTGCAGGCCACAAACTGGCCTATGGGAGTCTATACAGTTCTGTAGGGGTCTATATAGATCTATGGGGGTCTATGTAGACAGACCTGTATGCCGTGGTTCCTATATGGTCTCAGCCCTATATTCCAGGCCTTGTGTTGGGCTGTGGGGTCTAGGACCTGTATAAAGGTCTGTGCTCTCGTCCCCATATGTGGCTGTACAGTCTGGGCCCTATATATGCTATATATATATATTTACACTATATGGGGTCATATGGTGTGGGCTGTGTGCTCTTGTGCCTGTATTGGGCTGTAGGGTCTGGGCACTATATCCAGGCCCTATATCACAGTCCATATGCTCCCCTCACTATAGTTAACACCCTATACCACAGCCTGCTTGCTGGTCTATACGTTCTGTCCTATATGTTCCAGGCTTGGAGTACCAGGGTCTGGGGAGGGACATAATTTCTGCTGCTGAAAAGCCCCTTTTATGTTAAAAAAGCCCTTTTTAGCTTAAATAAACCCTCAGATGTGGCTTTTCAGGGAGGGGGGTTGGGCAGTAAGGGGTTTGGGGGGGAAGAAAGTCCTGCTCGGCTTCGTTTTGGGGAGAAAGAGCTTCTTTTCAGAGCGGGGGAAGTTATGAAATGAAATGATGAAATTTTATCCCAAGAAATTGGGATAAGAAGTGGGGAAAAGGCCGGCTGCAGGGAGGGGGAACTAGGCAGACTGGTGATACTGGGAGAGATTTATGCCCTCACTCCCCTCTCCACGCAGGATTTGGGTGAAATCTGGGTGGTTTCAGGGATATTTGCAGAGCTGTTTTCTCCCCACCTCCACTGCTGGCACTGAAAACACCCAAGTGTTTTTATTTTCACTTAAAAGGGGGACAGTCTGCCCCAAAAAATGGGGCCTTGGGAGGTTATCAGCACTTTCACCCTGAGGCAGCAGTGCAAAACCTCTCTTTTATTAACCAATTCCTCCCCAATTTGGGATTTTCTTCCCCGTGGGCACCATTTTGTGGCAGAAAATCCCCATTTCCCAGCGTGCTGCCTGCTGTCTAGGGGAAAATGTCCCCAAAACCCGAGGATTAAAAACACTGACACCCCCCCGATTTGCACTGGAGCTGTATTTTGGGGCGAAATTGGTTCCTTTTGGGGTATAACGAGCCAGTGATTAAAAAAGTGCCTTTTGAGCCCCGTTTTTATAGCCACCCGCCGATTATTCACCCGAATAATTGCAAACCTGCCACCCAAAATCCGCCTTTTTCCACTTATAATGGCCGCCAATGAGGAGCAGGGGAGGTCTTAGCACCCCCTCCCTCGCAGGGGAACCGCAGTCCTCACTCAGGTCCGTCCCTTCGCGTCCGCCGCGCTTCGCCGGGCGCGCAGTCTTCACTCAGGTCCGCTCCGAAGAGGGGAGCGGGGGTGGGCGCGCAGCGAGTAGCAGCCAATGGAGCGCCGCTGTGGGAGAACGAGCAGCCAGTCAGAGCGCGCTGGGCTTTATAGAAGGCGGGGCGCGGGAGATGGCGGGAACAGTGCGGCGGGATGGCGCGGGCGAAGCAAGCGGTGGGTGTTAAAAAACCTCCCCAAAAATCTTCTTCTCCAGCCCCACCGCACCCCAAAACACGCCCGCGTTCCCCCCGGGCTCCAGCACTATGGAAAAAGCTTCGTCTCTCGCAGAAAAAAAACCTGAAGCTGCTTCCCGCAGCCTCTTTTTGTGGGCTGGTGCGAGGTTTCTCTATCATCCAGAAGGGTTTTGGGGTTCACAGAGCTGCCATGGCGGCTCTGCAAGAGGGCTGCGAGGCGCATCTGCTGGCTTTGCTGGAGGAATGGGGGTTGTGCGCACTCCACGCCAAGCGGTCTGCCGTCCAAACCGCTGACGTGAGGCTGGTGAGGTGCCTTCAAGTGAAAAGAGGCTGATTTTTCTCCCCCAGTGCTGAAGAGCGAGCTCTGGGCCTGCTGATCTACCCAGAGGAGGCAATGGTTTTTTTGTTGTTTATGCTTTATTTTTTTGTGTGGACTTTCAAATTAAACCTCTGTAAAGCTTTTCAGAGGAAAAGCAGAAGAAACAGAGTGTCAAGAGCTCATCTGTTGGAGCAGGATACTGCAAAGAAGCACTTTGGTTTTTCACTTGTGACACGAAGCATCGCTGGACCTTGCGCTGTAACGAGCTCTCCTTTTTTGAGGGTGACATCACCTACAACCTACCTTGCTGTGAACCAAGCAGGGAAGTGACTAATTACACAGCTGAGCCAGGCTGTAATTTGGGTTTAGCAGTGATCTGCGGGTTTGTCAGGAGCCTTATTTAAAATTAGGGCCCTGGGGATGAAAGCAGCCACCTTCTGTGCTGCCTTTCCTGGTGGTTTCTCCTCTTCCTTGGGCCGATGTCATGAGTCTCTGCGGACAGGGAGGCGAGTCTGGCAGCGGAGGCGGAGTGATTGGGGCTGTAAGAGGCAGAGACCTGCCTGTGCTGCCTGATAACAGTGCTTTATTATGTGGTTTAACCCTAATAACAACTTCCTGCTATCTCAAGGTGCTGGTTTGTTTATTTTTTCCCCTTCTATTCACTCGTAGGTGGTGAAATGGGGGATAAAATCCCATCTGTGGCCTCTCTCTCTGCTCGCATCCTGGCAGCAATTGCAAAACCACAGGGAGGCCCCAGCCTGAGTGATCTGGGGAGGCACTAGGAATGGTTTTATCCCTTTTCCCTGAATTTCTCTGCAAATCTTAAGCAGAGACTTCTCTGCTTGCAAAACCTTCCTACGAGGCATCCACCACCAGCAGCAAAGCTCTTTTTTTTTTTTTTCCCCTCAAATTTAGCTCTCATATTTTTTAGGGAGGTTCTCCCTGTATTTCTGGGTCTTGTTTACATTGGCAAACAACCGGGGAAACAAAAATCTCTCCGTCCTCCTATTGAGGTTACTTTCTCATGGGGAAACACAGTGTGATGGTGGGGTGGAAACCCAACAAAAAGCATTAAATTGGCAAAAAAATATCCCTTGAGTGTGGCCCTTCTGCCCAGCATGCAAAATCCTCCTCTGCTCTGGGTCCATGTGTAATTCCCTTATCTTTCTTTAATTTCCTCCCCCTGCCCTTGAAAATATAATAATAATTAAATGGGTAAAAAATGTGTATTCAGGGTGGGTTTTACTTTGGGAAAGGGAGTTGGGGTAAGTGCTGTGCAGCTGTGGTGGGAAGCAAGATATTCCCTTGTCTTTTTTCCCTCCTTTGAGGCTTATTTTCACTGGAGAACAGCCCAGCAGAGCTGCAAAAAAGTGGTATTTCAGGGGAATTTTGAGTCCGTGCAAACCTGGCAAGGAGCAGGAGGGCAAAATGTGATTAATTTTGCTAAATTAAGTGTTAAAAGGAAAAGCAAATGGGGTGAGGGGGTGGGTTGGGGCTGTTTATTGAGCAGGAGGGTTTGTTGGGGTGGTGGAAGGGTCTGGTTTTGAGAGGTTCACAGGCAGAGGGTGAGCAGAGCCGGCCCCTCACCCAGCCAGAGCAGCGGCCGGAGCCGTTCGCCAGCAAAAGCAGCCGGGGGAAAGGCGAAGATTTCAGTCTCGCTGTCAGCATCACGGAAAGCCACCCGCCCACCAGCGTAATCCAAAGCCACCTCGATACGTCGGGGCACGCGGCTGTGGGGCAGAGATGTGGGGCTGGGCCAGGTGAGAGCCCGTAGCTGCCCCAACCACTGCCCCACAGCCCAAACGCCTCGTTCAGGGCTGAGACCGAAGCAGCCCTTACGGGACACAAATTCCCGAGCCACCCCCAGCGCCCAGTCGGGACCGGGACGAACCTCCACAGCCCAGCGGTGCCGACCCCCTGTGAAGCCCTGCTGACCCAAAACGCAGCGGAGAGACTCAAAACGCTCGGCTCCAGAGGGAAGAGGAGCCGGGGGCGATTCCCGGCGTCCTGCGGTCCGGCCATCTGCTGACACTAGGATTTGGGGGTGAGCTGTGGCTGGGTCCAGCGTCACGGTTGCTGGGGTGGAGGGGGAAAGGGGTGTTACGGGATTCGGTGCATCAGGGTATCAGGTCCAAATATTGCACTCGAGCATCAGTCCCAGGCGTTGCATGAGAGCATCAGCTCAAAATATTGCACTCGAGCGTCAGCTCCAAATATTGCACTCGAGCATCAGTCCCAGGCGTTGCATGAGAGCATCAGCTCAAAATATTGTACCTGAGCATCAGCAGCAAATGCTATGCCTGAGTTTCAACCCTGGGCTTTGCACCAGATCACCAGCTCTAAAAGTTGCACATAATTATCAGCTGTGAATGTTGCACCAGAGCATCAACCCTGGGAATTGCACCTGGGCGCTGCACCAGAGCATCAGCTTCTAATATTGGACCTGATTATCAGCTCTAAGTGTTGCACTGGAGCATCACCTTCAAATATTGTACCAGAGCATCAGTCCCAGGCATTGCACTGGAGCTTCAGCTCAAAATACTGCGCTGGAGCAGCCACCCTGCATATTGCACCAGAGCATCAGCCCTGGGCATCGCACTGGAGCTTCAGCTCCAAATATTGCACTCGAGCATCCACCTTGGGTGTTGCCCCAGAGCATCAGCTTCAAATACTGCACCCAAGCATCGGTCCCAGGTATTGCACCAGAGCATCGGCTCCAGATTTTGCAGCTGAGCCCCAGCTCTGGATGCTGAATCTGAGTATCAGCCCCAGGCACTGAACATAAAGTCAGTCCTGAAGCCCGACTCACCTCTCCGGTATCCCCCCAAGTCTTCCTCCAGCGAGCACCCCAAGATGTCTGGAAATAGAAGATGACCCCAGAGATTTGTACTCCTGGATCCGGCCCTGGGGCTGTCCCATATCCCCCCCCATTCCCCATTGCATGGAGAGGTGGGAGACTCAAACCCACTTTGTGTGGGTCATTGCCTCCCCCCACACTGAATTAGCATCCTAATTTGGGTGCTAATTAACAGCCAGCAGCCCTCTGCACCTCCCACCTGCAGCTTCCCACCCCCTAAGGCTGCTATAAGGGGGATAAATCCCTAATTATTTTATATTAAAGGGGCATTTGCGATGCTTGGACCTTCCAGCCAAACTTTGCCAACCCTGGGGGGGTCTCTGCTGGGCCCAACCCTGCCCCAGGCTCCCATTTCTGCTTATTAAATCCCCTTTGCCAATTTTCCCCCTCCAAACACCTTTAAACTGTGTCACCGCCTCTGCCAGCATGTTGGTTTTCAGGGCAAAATCCTCAAACTCCGCTTCCAGCTCTGGCATTGGTGGCAGCGATGGCTGCGCCCTCCACTCCGTGCACCTCGGGGAGGGAGCAAATCAGGGTGTTTAATGCTGAGACATCCCCAAATTTCCCTTCCTCATGCTGGAAAACCACAGGGAGAACTTTATTTCCCTGGGAAAGGCTCCAGCTCCTGCAAGACGCGACAGGAGATTCCCCCATTGCCACCAAGCTCCAGATTAACCATCAACCCCCCTAGCTCAAAAGCAAAAATCCCGGGGGAAGAGGATGCAGGGTGAGGAGGAGACCCTCAAAAGGAGGATTTTGGCCCCAAAACGCCGTTCCTGGTGATGCTTTTTGGCCCTGGTACCTGCTCAAGGTGATTTGGGCATCCTGGAGAGGAAGGGAGAGAGATGCTCAGGGCTGTTTGCTGGGGAATAAAAGCCAAAAGGGGGGAAGCAGAGGGATTTTGGGGAAGGGTTTGGCTCACCCGTAGCAGGTCACTGTCCGTTTGTCGGCACTTGGTCTGGAGCTCGGTGCAGCATTGCCGGAGCCGGGCCAGCTCAGTGGTCTCACTGCGACGCTGCTCCTCCAGCCCTCGGCGTAGGCGACCAAGACGGATCAAGAACCGCGATTCCTGCTCGCCCAGCACCCGCCGAAGCCCTTCCAGCACCTCCAGGAACTTCTGCTTCTCGGCATCAACTCGGGTCTGGGGGATGAAGGGAGAGGAGGAGGATGCTGGGGCGAGGGAATGAAGTAGTTTGGCCCCCACGGTGCACCCTGATGGTGGGAGCACCCACCAGCATCTCCTGTCTCATTTCCTCCGCTGCTGCTGCCAGCCTGGCACGTCGCTCGTACTCCTCTTGCAGGGCCTTTAGGGAAGCTTCGAACCGCTCCTGCAACCAAGAAAAGGGGTTTTGGCTCCTGGAGGGGGGGAATAAAGGGGGGCTGGCACCCCTGAAGCACCCTGGAGATGGCCAGCGTGGGCAGCCCCATCCTCATCCTCCTCTTTGGCTGTACTGAAGCAGATATGCAAATGTATTCACATTATAATTGGTTTTATAGTTATGATATATATATACACCCAGACATTATATAGATATAGGAATATATAGTGATGTATGCCCACTATGGGTCTCCCAGCCAGGCTGGGATACCTCATCTCTCCAAGACCTCCCCTAAAAAGTCCCACCAGCCCCTTGAACACCCCAGTCCCCCTTTCCCCCCCACCCTTGCACCCCCAGCTGGGTCTGGACCCCCTTTGGGGACCCCCATTTCCTCTCCGTGCCCGGAAGCAGATAAGGAACCCTCCATGGTGCATGCGCTGGGTGAGAGCTGGAGCTTTTAAATCACCCATATTTAGAATTTTGGTCCCCAAGCTGCCACTGTCTCCCACCCCACTGCATACTTAAGCCTCGGCAAATTGCAGCATTTCAGCTCAATTTTGACTTTGGGACGCTCGTATTGCTTTTTTTCCCCTGGAAAGGTGGGGAAAAGCTTTGCCAAATCTGAATATATTTATTTTGGGGGCTGAGTTTTAAGGGAAATTGGGTTTTTAGCATCGGTCAGGCAAGGAGAGGGTGTCTGAGCTGGGATTTCGCTCACCCTGTACTCGCGAGCGGCCTCTTCAAGGGGCACGGCACGGTGGGCACGATTCTCGGTGCAGGCAGCACAGAGGAGGATCCCATTCCGGCGACAAAAAAGGGTGAAGGGCTGGCAGTGCCGCCGGCAAAGCTCCTCTGCCGCCGGCAGTGCCAGCTCCTGGACGGCCGCCACCACGTTGGCCAGTTGCCGGTTGGGACGGAAGCCATCACGGGGGAAAGGTAAACGGCATTGGGGGCAGGAACCGGCCCCAGAGGCATCTGCGGAGCAACAATCGAGGCAACAGCGGCAAAAATTGTGGCCACAACCCAGGAGCATGACGGGATCACGGAAGAAATCCAAACAGATGGCACAGGTGATTTCCTCCTGAAGATTTTCCACGGCGTGTCCCGCAGCCATGGCTGAAACGACGAGGTTGTTTCTTGTGAACGCTCAGAGAAACGCCCACGCGAAGGGGCCGGGCGATGGTTTTCCTGGAAACGGTGACAGGACAGGAGGCCGGTGTTGGCATCCAGAACCTCATGGGGAAAAGCAACAGAGAGCTCATCTGACGTTCCCACTGCCCCAGTGATAAAACAACCCCCAGGGACAAGGCCAGCAAGGATTTAACAACAGCACGGAATGCAGGCAGCAATTGCCAGGGGTTTAGGAAAGATGATTTATTTGCAGGGTGAGTTTTCTACCACTCCAGCTGTGCCCAGGGGAAGCAAACTGTGGCTGGAGGGTGGCTGTAGAAAACAGGGATTAATGCAGGAATGCAGCGAGTGAGCAGAGTTCCTCTATGTCCTGCAGACCTCATGCGGATATTAGCTGTGATGCTGGCAATAAGCCCAGCAGGGGGGTTTAAAGTGGAAGAAAAAAACACCACTAAACCTCAGCACCCAAATCAGATGTGAAAAATAAGAAGCAGAAAAACTAAGAACTAGCAGGCGCAGGATCTGTAGGTGGAGGCAGTGTTAGAGCAGCCCATCCCCGGAGGGAATAATGTTAATGCAGTTGTATAATAAAATTAATTCAGGGAACCAAACTGCACGAGGGTCTTCGAGCTGAAAGTTTCACTTTTATAAAATATAGCCCACATAAAAATAATTTTTAAAAGAAGAGACTAATCAGGAATCAGTATAGTTGCGAATAAGGCTGATAAAACAGTAAAATAAGTTGGATATTCCCAAATAGAATCGTAAAACCTGCAGGGTGCTGAGCCCCAAATTAATCAGCTTCAGCTTTTCCCCAGGAGAATCACAGCCCCTTCCTCAGGGGAAACCAGGGCCGCTGCAAACCCCCCCCCCCCCCCCCCCGGTTTGCAACGAAGGCAAAAATAGGCAGAAGCGATGCAAAAACCCACCGGGCATCTGTTATTCTCGCAAAAACCCCGTTAGCAGACCCAGGCTCGCTCCTATCCAAGGAGGGACTAGTGGGCGGGGGGAGCCCACCTCCGCCGCGGGAGAGCGGAACGGAAAGATCCACTCTCATTGGTTGATGTCGGGCAGCCAATAGGAAGCCTCAGCGCGTCCGGCGGCCAATAAGAGGCGGCGTTTGTGATCCCCTTTCCCGCTATTGACAGCCGTGGAGGGGCCTCGAGGATGCGATGGAGCAAAGCGCGATACAACGAGACGGGACAAACCAGGAGGAACTAAACCAAAATAAACCCCCAAATTTAATCTCTAGTAGCAGCTCTCTGGGCACAAAAACAGAAAAAAACCCCCCAAAACCGAAAACCTTTTTTCCTCTTTTTTTTAAAAGTATTTTTTTTTCTAGGAAATGGCTGGAACAGGGCTTTAATTAGGAGGAGGCAAACTTCATGCTTCATTAATTCTTAGATGTTTCAGGCAGTTATTGGCCCTTTCCAAGAGGGATCTCAGCCTGCGAGAGGCTTCGGCGGCAGGAGGAGAAGCCAGGGCTGCACAAGGAAGAAATATTTTTCCAGAAATTGCCACTTTTTTGCTGTTTTGCTACCTGTCTGCATGTACGTAAAACCAATCTGCCGTTCATACCTCATTTTAAGTTTTTTTTTTTTCGTTCCTAAACAGCTCCCGGAGCTGCAGCGCCTTGGGGCGAGTGTGTGTTGCACCCGCTTGACTTTCTGGGGCAATTTTTCACATTTTAGGAGGGGTTATTTTATTTTATTTTATTAATTTTATTTTATTAATTTTATTAAACAGGGCTTCTCTAGGGCATAGCCGCAGGGATAGGAAGGGCCATGGGGTGGGGGTATGAACCCAGTGTTTTCCCTTGGGGAAGTGGGGTGCGGTGTTTTTTTTCTGCGTGTTTGTGTCTGTGGGAGCTCATTTTGGCGCCGGCGGGAAGGGTGGGGAGGGGGCGGGGGGAGCAGCGGCGCGTGGAGGTTGACTCGGTTGCGTCCGGCACGGGGCTATATAAGGGGCCGCCGGGGGGCGCTGTCCCGCAGTCAGCGGCCGGCGGCGGAGGGAGCAGGAGTGGAGCAGGAGCAGGAGTGGGGGCGGGGCGGCGAGGCGAGGCCCCGGGCCTCGAAGCCGTCGGCGCCGAGCCTCGAAGGCGGCGCGCCCGGCCATGTCGGGTGAGCAAGGAGGAGAGCCGCAGCCGTCCACGTCGAGGGCGGGGATGTCGCTGCCGCAGAAGCGCGGGTGGCCGTCGCTGTCGGATCTCATTCTCGCCGCCGTTTGCTCGTGCACGGCCCGTAAAGGCGCTTCGTTCGCTTTCATTAAGAAGACGCTTGCCACCGAGGGTTACGACGTGGTGCGGAACGGTGGTCGTTTGAAGGCGGCGGTCGGTGCTTTGCTCAGCAAAGGGCTTTTGCGGCGGGTGACGGGCAGCGGCTTCACCGGTTCGTTCCGCCTCGGCCGCGTCGGTAAGGAGCGAGTGGAGGGAACCGGGCGGCGCGGGAGGGCGGTTGGTGGAGCCCGTAGGCGCCCCGCCGGGAAGACGAAGGGGCCGAGGCGCGCTGTTAAAGTCACCGCGCAGCGCTTGAAAACGAGGAGACCGCGGGGAAAGGCGAAGGCGGCGGCGGCAGCAGCAGCAGCAGCAGAGGAGGCGGCGGCTGGAGGCGTGGAGGAAGTCGGGGGTCCTGCGCCGGCTGAGGGCGAGTCTTAAGAGCGCGGCGGATGGAGCGATAAACGTTGAACCCAAAGGCTCTTTTAAGAGCCACCCCAGGGGGTTCAGCAAAGGAGCTGGTCACGGGGCGGGGGAGCGAGGGAAGCCGTTACCCCTGGGGCGAGGCGGCGATAAAAGAGCTGCAGCCGAGGGCCGGGCGAGGCGGCATTAGAAACTGCGCCGAGCGGGGAAGGGTGAGGCGTGAATAAAAGTGCTGCGGCGGGGTGGGGGGAGAAAGGGAGGGCGAGGCGGCGATGAAGGGGTTGTACGGGAGGGGTGGCCGCCGCCTCGGGAGTCACTGGAAGAGCTGCGCCGAGGGACCGGAGAGGTGGCAACAAAGGGGTTACGCCGAGGGCGAGGCGGTAAAAGCTACGACAGGAGAGGGCTGCGCCCAGGGCCGGCTGCGCCGGGGCGGGGCTCGTGTCCTTGAAGAAGCCGCACCCGGGCGTGGGCGCGGTGCGGGTGGATGCGCCCCAAGTGCGGCTCATCCCCGCGGGACCGGAGCCGGGAAAGCGCTTCCAGCGATCGGGGGGGGGTGGAGTTGGGTGTTCTCTGTCAGGTCCGCAGTGCCCCGCAGGCGCCGGTGAAAGCTCGGCGGCGCGGTTTTCAACCAGGTCCGCCTCGACGCACCCCCACATCCCGCCGCTGCCTCCCCCCCCCCGCCTCGGCCCCGCAGGAGCAATCAACACCTTAATGTGTTTTTTTTTTTTTCATTACCTTAACGGCGAACGGCAACTGGAGCACCCCAAGAGCAGTCACTAAGGGAAGGGGCAGCTTTGGTGAAGGCAAGTTTGGGGTAGAGCGGAGGCTTTTGCGGCTTCTCTGGCAGGATCCGAGCTGGGAGAGGAGCTCGGCTGGGAGAGAACTCGTGTTTGGGGGTGCAGGCAGCACCCAGGTATCCGGAGGGAAAAGCAGTGTCTGGCAGAATCCAGCTAACATGTCCGTGTCCCGCATCTCCCTGGGGTGACCCGCTCGCCACCACTGGCTGGCCCTTGGCCTCGCCGGGGCTCTTCAGCCTTGTCCCGCTCCTCTTCATCCCACCGCACGCTCTTTGTCTGCCAAAAACTGTGGGAGAGGAACTGCACCAGGCTCCCAAGGTGGCTTTGCTGCAGGGAAAGGCAAGAGGGTCAGTGGGGGGGGCTGAGGCTGCTGTAGGGGAAGGAAAAAAGGGACAAAACACACAAGATGTGCCTCACCCTTTTCTTCTGCGCTGGCACATCTCCCCCTTCCTGGCTTTGTTTCAGGTTGCCCTGTGTCTGGAAGGAGAGGGAGAAGGTGAGCGTGGTGCTGTGTCTGCTGTGGCCTTCCCTTGAACAATCTTTTCCTCCCCAAATGCCTTGGAATTCTCCCAAAGTACCCCTGAATTCTCCAAAAATACCCCTGGATCCCTCCCAAAAGAACAGAATTCCTCCCAAAACACCTCTGAATTCCTTCAGGGCCTCCCAGAGAGCGTCCCGTTGGCGGCGGCAGGAGCTCAGGCTCTTCTCCAGCTCAGCGGGGAGCTCGGAGGGGAGGTGAAGCCTCATGTCACTCCAGCTGAGAAGAGAAACAAGGGGGGGGATGTTATGGGAGGGATGTTTAACCCCAGCCCAGCCCCTCCACACTCAGGGTGACACAGAGGGGGAAGCGACCAGATGCCACATACCTGCTTAGGATGCTCCTGATATCCTAAAATGAGGGGGAAAAGAGGGGTCAGGACCCCATGGGCAGCACTTTTGGGGAGCTTTTCGGTAAGGAGGGTTCTCACCTGGGGTGTGCGCTTGACCTCCAGCTGCCCGATGAGCCTGTGGAGCCGTGTAATCCCCTCGGCCACCCACAAAGATTTTTCTGCTTGGGCTGCTTCGAAGGCAGCGTCCAGCTCTGCCAGCTGCCCCAGCACTACGCGCTCCTTCTCTGCCAAGAACCGGTGCAGCCGCTCGAACTCGGCCCCGATGCGATGCCACTCGGCTTTGCTTGTCTCCTGGACGAGAAAAAAAAACCCCAAACCATGTGAGACCACGTGCAACCCCCAGAACAGAATTTTTCCCTTTCAAGCTAAAGCGCAAAGTGCTTTGGCTGGAGCCAGGGAGCTGTAACACCGGGGATGTGGTTAATTAATGACTGGAGGGTAATTGAGCAGTCCATCTGATGCTTTTCCTTCTCCTTTTCCCTTCCCCATTGCCATTCACTCTTTATAGTTGGTCCAAAATCAACCAGGGCCCTGGGAAGCAGCGGGGAGGGTTAATTCCACATTAATGAATGTCCCTTTAGGACTTGATCTGGGATGAAAACGAGCAGCGCCATGAAAATAAAGCGCTTTAAAGTAGGGATAATAAGCAGCTGCACACAGAGGCAGTGCTCGCCAAACCTGCCCGGGATCCGTGCTGGCGGCTCCAACCTGGTTTGGGGCTTTGCAGGGCGCTGGGATGCGTTGCAGAGATGATCCCACGTGTTTCTGCTGGAGGGACTGGGGGGGGGGAATGCCCAAGGACCCCTTTGGGCTGCCGAAAGGCCAAGGGGACCCTTACCAGGTAGTCCCAGTGTCGCTTCTCTTCGCTCGTTCTCCAGTCCAGAAACTCTGCCAACACCTTCCTTAGGGATCGCAGGTGAGACTGGATTTTCTCCTGAATGCACCCAAAAAAAGTAATAATTTGAAGCAATCAGCCCAGCTCATTTGCATAATCCCACCTTTAAAATCTTAAATTATTTGGGGGAGGAAAGCAAATAATCCCCCCCCCCCAAAGCCACCTTGCTGCCTTCCCTTGAAAGCGGGAATCGACTCACTTCAAGTTTCTCCCACGAACAGGACCAGGTGCCGTATCTTTGCTTTCCCACCAAGAAATGAAAATATTTTCGCTTTGCACCATTTTTGGGGTGGGGGGAAGAGGCCTGATGGGTCATAGGAAGACGATCTCACCTCGCAGGTCTCGGCGGGTCCCCCAAAAAGCTTCGTGGCCACAACCTGTGGCTGCTCATCCATCTCTGCTGGCACCGCTTGGCCCCGAGGGGTTTTCACCTCTTCAGTACCGGGAGATGACGGTGGCAACGTCGTGGCTGGTCTCGGCACAGAGGTTTTGCGCTGCTGCTGCGGCCGTAATTCCCTCCCAGCAAGAAGACATCGGTGCTGGAGGTTGGTGGTGGCACGGGGCGAAGCCGCCTTCCCTCGAACCGCCCCTGGGTGTTCCCGCACTCGGCTCCCAGTACGACCTTCCGGGGCGGGAAAAGCAAATTTCCTCGCCCACGGTTGGCTTTAAATATGTTTTATCTCCCCCAGGTTGTCTCATTTCCAGGCTTTGCCATCTCATCCGTCACCTGGAAGCTGCTCCCATCCTTGTCTCTGCTTTGCCTTACTCAGCTCCGTTGTGTGGAAGGGGCTGCAGCCAGATTTGGGGACTTGGGGGGGGCAAAAATTTAACCAATTTCTTTCTTGGGGTGCGATAATGCACATTTTTTGCAGCGCCTTTTTTTTTTTTTCTCTCCTTCCTCCCTGATGCCTACGTTGAGAAAGTAGATGGCCCTGAAATGGGGGGGGGGAAGGTGCAATCGGAGGGCGCAGGAGGCGTCCGAGTGTGTCGTGGCCCTGTCTGCAGGCATGAGATTGGAGGTCACCTCCCTCCCCAGCTGATAAAAACTGGTGGAGGCAGAGACGGGTCTGAGCTTTTGCTGAGCCTGTGCTAGAGAGAAGGGGAAAAAAAGACCCAAGCGAGGAAAAAAGCCAAGCGGAGAAGAAGCTGGTGGAGGAAAAGCAGCCGGAGGAACCCCGAAACAGCACCAGTGCCACCAAGGAAAACCCCTAAAGGTTTGAGAGAGGGGAAAACCCTAGTGCTGCTGGGCGGGTTACATCACCCTGCCATCTTTTGGGGGGGGGAAAAGGGGACTTTGAGAACTCTCCCCATCCCATCAATAAGAGAAGGAAAGTGGATTTATCCCTGCTTTGCCCTCAGGATCTTTGTTTCGGATTTAAAGGTGTTTTGCAGCGGTTGGTCATGGTTATTATTTGCTTCTTGTCTACCCGTAACGATCTGGCTCGGGAAACTTGGGTGAGAAACAGCACAGTTCCTGCTTATACCTTAATTTAAGGCTGATTTTCCCACCTTTTTCCCACTTTCACTCATCCACCTGCTGCTTTAGCTCCCCTCTGCAGTTTTGCTGGGGAAAGCATGTGAAAAAGCAGCAACCTGTTTATTTTTGAGCATCACAGCATGGTTTATTCAACCATTTGGGGGCTTTATTTCTCATCTCCAGTGCCCTTTACTGCAGTCAACCGCTTGTTTGCACTCAAAGCCCCATGCTCGGTTTCAGAGGATGGATTCGAGGCCCTTTGACGCCAGCCCTTATCTCTCCCATGCACATTTCCCCCAGGGCCAGCTGCAAATTTCTCCACTTATTGCAGGATTTCTCTGGGCGCGAGAGAGTTGGACTCGGCTTATCTCAATTTTAAGGATTTTTCTCACTCAAGTAAACCTTGTCAGATTTGATTGCCCAAGAAAATGAATGGTGGAGGCAGGGATGGATTTAAGATGGATTCATCCCTGAGCCAGCGCAAGGAATGGGGATTTTGGGGTATAATCATATCTACAAGGTAGGTGGGTCTATCCCAATGTGCTCCTCATGTTCCCTTCATAGTCATCATGGAATTAATAGGTTCAATCCATCTCCATGGGTTTTCCCATAAATGAACCAAGCTTCTTTGCAGCTGCTGGAGAAAAAAATGGCATTTTCTTTCAGGTATTTTGATTAAATGCAGCGGTTGAACCCGTTTTCTGACATAAAAAGGGGTGAAAAGCTGAGATGTGCTCATTTGTAGGATAATAATTTTATTTTATTCTTTCTTTCCCCTTTCTTGCGCCTCTAGCCAGGAGGACGTTGCAGGTGCAATGGCTTTCTTCCTCAAACCACGGCCGTGCACATGGGATCTTGCCCTGGACTACCACACGGCAAAACAGTTTGAAGGTAACCAAAAGCAGCCAGAGAGGAGCAAAGTACCAATTCCTGATGTTTTCTGGGCTGCATCAAGTGCGATGTCCATTGAAGTTGGACATCCTCCAGCTCCACCTTCTATCTCCCTGGATCCTCCATCTCCAGCCTCCATCTCTTGGTTCCTCCATGTCCAACCTCAACTGGAGATCCTTCATCTCCAACCTCCATCTCTTCGCTCTTCCATCTCCAACCTCACCACTCCTCTCCCTTTCTCCTTGAAAAGTAACCAGTGATGGGGATTTTGGGGGTGTGCGTCCTCTAAGCTTAAGTTTGGCTTCTGATTCTTTCTCTCGTTTGCTCACCAGTGGACGTGACCCTGGATCCGGCCACAGCGGGTCCCGAGGTGATCCTCTCTGAGGACCTCAAAGAGGCCAGCTGGGGTAGACCTGGACGCCGGTGGCCTGAGGGTCCGGGCCAGTTCGACACGGATCCGTGCATGTTGGGCAGCGAGGGCTTCACCTCGGGCCGTCACTACTGGGAGGTGGAAGCAAACGGGCGCTTCTGGGCCGTAGGGGTGGCCCGTGAGTCGGTTCAGAGGAAAGGCCGGATCCTTTTCAAGCCTAATACTGAGATTTGGGGCTTGCAGAAGTACGATGAGCTCTGTGTGGCCCTCACAGCTCCTTCCAACACCTCTGTCCCACTCCTCAACGGGGAGATAGGGGTCTACCTGGACTATGAGGTGGGACAGGTCTCCTTCTATGCTGTTGGCAGCCGCCAACGCATCTTCACCTTCCCCGTGGCTTCCTTCAGCGGAGAGAAGGTCTTCCCCTACTTCTGCGTGCTCCTCTCCACCATCAAACTGTCCCCGAAGGGTTGATGCGTTGGCAGGGTCCCCCCAAAGCTGGTTGCTCCACGGTGGTTGGAAACACTCCTTGATGCTCCTCAACTCTTATTTTCCAGGTCTTGGAGTCATTTCCACCTCAGCTCATGGTCCTACCTCCATCTTAGATGTCTCCATTTTGGGTTATATCCAGGGGCTTTTGGGTCTGAGCTCGGCATGGCTCATCTCATCTAAAAGCCACTTGTTAAATTTATCCAAAGCTTGTTGACAGGAGCTGGGCTTCACTTAGCTGGTTTTGAGGTGAAAGCCTGGGGCTTCCTCCCAAACTCAGCCCCCTCTGAAGGTTTCTTTTACTGACCTCAATGCCCATCACTAGCTGGGCTTCCAACCCAAATTAAAAATTGTGACTTTTGCAGGCTTTGTGTTAATACCAGCCGCTTGCTACCTCAGTTTAAAACTGATTTTGTCATCACAAGGATGTGTTCGTGCTCACTTCCGCCCCCCCATTTTCTTCTGCTGTTCTCCATGTTCAGGATGTATTTCCGAGTAATTAATGTGCAATTGATTATAAATGTGCTCAGAATATAATAAACACTTTTTTTTTTTTTTTTGCTATAATAAGGAGGCGGCATCTGCATTTGACCCACCACCAAGCTGCCCCAGTCCCACAAAGACACCCCCCCCCCAAGGCTGCCCTGGGCCCCCAGGACCCCCCAGAGCTGCCCCACATGGGATCTCAAAGGCTGCCCTGGTCCCCCCCAGCTTCTTTGGTCCCCCAAACCCCCCAAGAGCTGCCCCACGTGGGACCCCAAAGGCTGCCCTGGCCTCGCAACACCTCCTTGGTCCCCTGGGACCCCCAAGAACCCCTCCCCAGGGCTTTCCCACATGGGATCCCAAACGCAGCAGTTCATGTTTACATTAAATCCAAGCAACCAAAATATTTTTCCAACCCTGTCCCACGTCCCGCCTCTCCCCCAAGCTGCCATCGTGCGGAGGTGGGAGAAAACCTCTGCCAAAAAAGAAACCACCGCAAGCCAAAACCCACCAGCAAATTCAGTGTCACCCTTGGAGGCAGTGGCCTTGGCAGGCTTATTTGGAAGAAAACCCTATTTTTTTCCCTCCTCCCCAGCACCAAAACATCCTTAACTTTTCAATTTCCAAACCCATTTCCAACATTTTATTTCAAGCTTTGAGCAAAAAGGCATCAGGAAGCGGCTGAGCATCCCCAGGTTGTGGTGGGTGGGTGGCAACACCGGGACCCCCCCCCCCCCCCCCCGGGG